GGAGGCAAAATGATGAAAACATCTTAGACATAACCTAACATCTTGAGACAATGAGTTACTGGGCTTGGGGGCTCAGGACCATTGACTTACGGGACACCATGGTCAATTAGAATAACATAGTCTTTACAAAGATAATGTTCTATATCTTAGTATAGTGAGTTATTGTTAAATGTCGTTGAGTTGGTTCCGACCTATAGCGACCATGTAGAGAGTTTCCAACTGACTTGACTGCTGAGCTTGACTTGCCAACCTTGTGGTTCAAACTGACTTTGCAGTCCAGCACATTAATTCACAGCGCCACACCAGAACTAGTGGCTGGGATCTTGAAAGCTCATGAGCAGTTATCTAAGGTGCAACTATTGGTCTCTCCCTGTGTGAAAGAAAGAAGAATGATTTGAATTGAAGATACTTGAAATCAGTTGGTCCAATGGACTAAAGGAACAAGTGAACATCAGTTTTCATGACTCTGAGACCACAAGATGGTGCCTGGCTTCCTTATCAACTGCTCTGAAAGGGAGCACACTAAAAGGTCCCAGGTAGAGTGGGAGGAAATGTGGAACAAAACTCAAAATTACACAAAAGACTGGGCTTACTGATCAGAAAGAGACTGGAGGAACCTGAAACTATGAACATTCGACCCTCAGGTCTGGAATGGAACTCAATTTTGTGACCCAATTTTTAGCCAAACAGTAGATAAGTATATAGGGGGACAACAATACCAGGAAGGTGTGCTCACCATGGAACAGCCAGTCATTCAAAATCAAAATGACAACATTTACCTAAGGACAAAGTTCAGAAGGATTGGTTGGGAAGGAGTGTGGAATGGAAATAAGAACCACAGGCAGAAGTGAGACAACTGCTGTTATATGGAGGGGACTGCAATCATTGAGAAGAAGCAAAGGGTATAATTTGTTGAATGTCAAACGGACATAAATTGGATATTAGTTAAATTTAACAGATATGCAAGTAAACCTTTACTCAAATCACAATAAAAAGTTAAAAAAAAAAAATCCCATATAAATTGAGATCAAATCTTCAGTACGGAAAAAGTAGGCGAATCCATAATGTTGTTTGCAAGAACTTTTACACAAGCAACCAAAACAGAAACGTGCCAATAGGAAGCACTCTCTCTTCAAATCTTTTTTTTTTGTAAAAGTTTTTATTGTGAATTATGTGATAGTTTACATGGGCGAACACCAGCTTTACCTTCATCCTATCGTATTTCATTTAATTGCAATGATTACAATCCCCTCAATGCATAATCAAATAACCAAAGGTTACACCCTGCAAGCCTGCCCCAGGCTGTCAGCACACAGCCCCTCTCCCTCCTTGAATCCAGAGTCCCCAGCTACTCCATCTCTCCATATCAATCGTCTGTCTCCATTTCTGACGTTGCTACTTCTCTGGGTAGGGTCCCACACGCCACTCTTCTCACTTAATGGTTCCAGGCACCTCCGCTTCTTGACTGCAAAATCAACCACTCCCCTCCTTTTGTTGCAAAACATCTA